CTGTGCCACTGGACACCTACTACACAAAGCCACATTAATAAGACTGGGAGACTTAGGAGCTTTGCTGAGTTCATAGAAACAGACACAGAAAGGCAGCCAAAATGGGAAGACAAAGAAGCAGACACCATATGAAAGAACAGAACAGAGATCAAGCAATCTAACAGATGTGGAGTTCAAAACACTGGTTATAAAGATGCTCAGTGAAATTAAGAGAAATGTAGAAGAACTCAGTGAAAACTTTAACAAAGATAAAAAGACTTAAAAATTGAAATGGAAATTATAAAAGGGAACCAATCAGAAATGAAGAACACATGATCTGAAATGGAGAGTATATTAGAGGGAATCAACAGAGTGGAGGAAAATGAGAATTGAAACACCAATATAGAGGATGGAGAAGCCAAAGACACCCAACCAGAAGGGCAAAAGTAACCAAGAATATAATATTTTAAGGAGCCTATGGGACAAAATTAAGGGTAACAACATCCATGTCATAGGGGTACCTGAAGAGGGAGAAAAGAAGCTGAATATATATTTGAAGAAATAATGATAGAAAACTTCCTTAACCTGGTGAAGGGAATAAACATACAACCCCAGGAAGCTCAGAGAGTCCCCTCAAAAAAGGAACCCAAAGAGGCCCACACCAAGACACATCATAATTAAAATGCCAAAGGCTAAATTCAAGAAGAGAATCTTAAAAGCAGCAAAAGCAATTAGTTACCTACAAGGGAGCACCCATAAGACTGGCAGATGATTTCTCAAAAGAAACTTTGCAGGACAGAAGGGCTTAGCACAAAATATTCAAAGTGTTGAAAACCCAAGATCTACAACTAAGAATACTTTATTCAGTAAAGCTATCATTTAGAATTGGAGGACAGATAAAGAGCTTCTCAGACAAAAATAAGCTGAAGGAATTCATCGACACCAAGCCAACAGTACAGGAAATGTAATAAAGAATGGTAATAACTACATTCCTATCAACAAGTACCTCCAATGAAAAAGAATTAAGTGCTCCAACCAAAAGATAGAGCGGCTAAATGGATAAGAAAAGAAGACCCCCACATATGCTGCCTCCAAGAGACTCACTTCAGATTAAAAGACATACACAGAATAAAAGGGAAAAAGATATTGCCTTGATGGACCTAGAGGGTATTGTGCTGAATGAAGTCAGTCAGATAGGGAAATACAAATATCACATGATTTCATATACATGTGGAATCTAAGGAATAAAATAAACAACAACAACAACAAAAACGGAAACAAACTCATACAGAAAATATTATGAGGGCTATTAGACGGGAGGGGGTTGGGGGAGATGATGAAAAAGGGCAAAGGGATTAAGAAGTACAAATGGATAGATACAAAATAGTCATGGAAATATAAAGTGTAGCATAAGAAAAATAGTCAATAATGTAAAAAATATGTAAGGGTACTTGATTTAGTGGGGTGATCACTTTGTGAGTTATATAGATCTCTAATCACTATGCTGTACAATTGAAACTAGTACATTATTGTATGTCAACTAAATGAAAAAAAAAACCTCATTGAATTGTACAATGTAAACATGAGCAATTGTCTACACTTTAATAAAACTGGGGGAAAAAAAGATTATAGTCTCTGAGAAAGAAAGGCTTGATTGCAGTCTCTCCCTTGCTAGGTTTATGTTTTCTTGCAATTTACCTAAACGTATAGGTTTTAGTAGAAACCTAAAAGAAACATTAAATATATTATGTAGTATACGAAGAAGTGAATTTTTATTTTTAACTGAAGTTCTTTATGGTAAATGGCGTCTAATATACTAGGAAATACATCGGTGTTTATTTAGACAAGAGGAAAGACAAAAGCTGTTGCAGAGGACAGGGAGCTGGCCTTGGACTCAATGTAAGGCCAAGTCTCATTCTGCTGAAGTGACAAATGTCACACACCTCCTTCATCAAAGGTAATCAGTGACTATAATGCACCAAGATAGTCATAAGGGTATTTTTACTCATATCTCTAAAAAGTAGTAAAAGATATAGTTCCAAATTATAACAATGACCAATATTCCCTTTTGCCTACTAATATCATTGACTGGAACTTCTTACAAATTATTTTCAGCTCCACTACACTAGTTTTGCCTTCTAGAAAATAACAATTATGATTACCAATGACAGAATGAAGTTTACCTTCTCACAGAACAGAAAAAAGTCCTGCTTCCTTGAATAGCAATTAAATCACCTAATGCAAGCCAAAATCCTGTAAAAAGTCTTTTTGAACAACCTGATACTATCATACCTCACACACCTTTATTTGTGGTCATTCTTTTTAGAATTTATTACCCCTTTCTTTTTGACTATATGTGGGACACTGGCAAGAGGGCACTGAAAAAACCATGATTTACATTTTTAGTATTAAGAATAAAAAATTAGTTTCACGGCAAAAATTGAAACTAGAAAAAAAATTGACTGAGAAAAATACCTGAACTTGTACGCATATAATATTGTTTCATAGTGTATAATGATTAAATAAAAAACCTGCAAACATCTGGAAATCCATAATTATAATGAGATGTGTTAATAATATATCATTGCAATATTTGTTAACATTCTACAGCTTTAAAAAGTTAATAAAATATATCTATGAAACAACTACAGAAATATTCATTTGACTAAAGAATGCACATATTTTTAATCACATACATCCAACGAAGTGAAAGCATATTGTGGAATTACATTCAGCTACAAGTAACAGGCAAGTAACAGGAAACGCCCACAGCCTTCCTGCAGAAGGAAGATGCTTGTTCTCACATGGAAAGACCTGGTTAAGGCAGCCACCGCACGTACAGCAGAGAAACAAACTCCCATGTCCTTCTTTTTGATGGCACGATTGTAGATGTCATGTGAATCAGGAAAACATACTCACCAGCACTATTAATAGCATAAGTTGTTTCCAATGCAAATTAGACTTTACACAGATATAATTCAGGGAAGAGGGGAATCAGAGAATACTCACAGCATGAAAGTCTGAATTAGTTTCCTGATGGATGGAAGAGAGCCAGCAGAAAAATCCACATTCTGATGGACTTTGCTTTTTCTCTTTTTTCTGTGTTTTATCTTTTCAATTTTTAATTAATTATTCTAATGGAACTTTAATGTGGATCTTGTGGAGACATCAGTGGAAACCTACACCTCTAAGAAAATGAAAATCAAACAGTTGCTGGTAGTTTTGAAGATACATTTAATTAAAGGGTAAAGAATGCAAAAAAAAAAAATCAGCCAGAAGATGGTGTCCTCAAAGCCCCTATTATCTCTTTCACCATCTGTATGGTGGTGGCTCCAATATCTGACTGTCTTCTTCACTTCTGCCTTCCACATCTCATGCAAGTGAGGCTATTGGTGATTTCTCATATGGAACCAGAGAAAAAATGAATTCTGGGAAACCCAGTTCCTAACGTTACCATGGGGGGATATCCTTTCATGGGTCTCTGTTCTTAAATCAGTCTGTTCACCACATGCCAGTCAAGAGAAAAAAACAAAAAGCAAAGGGCCAAATGTGAAAATAACTCACATGAAACTTTATTTTCATAAACTTGACAAATATAGAAATTTACTCCAACCATCTAAGAATGGAAAATGAAAAACAGCTTTTATATACATCACCTCTTAAAATGGAGCTTATTCAATAAGAAAGAGAGTATATAATGGACTAGGAATATCCAGGAAGTGTCACAAGGCCTGTAAAAATATCCCAAATTATATCAAATTATCATTTTTCAATGGCCGCTTAACACAAAGATATAAACATTACTTTAAAAATAAACTGAACTGCATATTAGAATTGCATAATAAATTTGAATTAACCCATGGATTTAACAAGCTTCAACATGTAAAGAAACAACGTTATTAACCGATTTAATGAAAAATCACTACCTATTAGTGTTATGTACTATCGTTAAAAGACAACTTGCAGAATTATCTCACATTTCTGAAAGTAATTACAGTTGACTCTTAAAAAACATAAGTTTGAGTAGAAGTCCAATTGTTCTCAGATTAAAATCCATGTATAAAATTGGGAATCTGTGCATGTAGAGGACCAGCTTAAGTTCTGGGTGGATTTTTTACTGTGTGAGCAGTTGATGCCCCAGCTCCCATGGTGTTCATGAGGCTACTGAAGTAGAAATCCTGGGTACAATGATGCACTAGCTAGTAAGTAAAGAAAGACTGCTAAACATAATTTAGAATTTTAATATCAACCCTTTAATGTTGAAAAATTTCTGAAAAATTATACATGAATTTCCATCAAGCCTCCTTATGTTATTTAAATTTTTCTTCTTTTGGTGGGAATTTTAAAGGTAAGGATGTGAGACAATTGAAGTACTTCCCACACTAGTTACATTCAAGAGGTGTAACCAAGTGAATACTTTTAGGCCTTTAAAAGAGAGATAACTGAAGGCTTTTCCATATTATTTATATTTATAGTTTCTCCGCCTTGTACACTCATCTTGTGATTTCAAAGGATTTTGTTAGAAACGAAAATTTTGCCACACACCAGACATTCACAGGGGTTTTTTCCAGTATGAGCACTTTCAGGTTATTATAAGGAACTGTGTTCTGCCTAGGCTTGCCCACATCGTTTTCATCTATGTGGTTTCTCTCCAGCGTAAGCTCTTTTATGTCTTTGATGCAAATTAAGGCAAGTGAATGCTTTCCCACATTTCTTACATTGATAAGGTAAAATTCAAGTATGCATTTTCATATGTCTATGAAGGTATTTGTGAGAAATAAAGGCTTTACCACAATGCTTACATTCGTGGGGTTTCTCTCCTCACATCGTTTTCATCTATGTGGTTTCTCTCCAGCGTAAGCTCTTTTATGTCTTTGATGCAAATTAAGGCAAGTGAATGCTTTCCCACATTTCTTACATTGATAAGGTAAAATTCAAGTATGCATTTTCATATGTCTATGAAGGTATTTGTGAGAAATAAAGGCTTTACCACAATGCTTACATTCGTGGGGTTTCTCGGGGTTTCTAATAAAATCACTAATAGAAAATCATAATATGCTTCTTGTTTCTAATAGAAGTCATAAGGTGTGAGTCCTTGCATGCATTTGTAAAGAACTGTAAGATCTGAAAGCTTTTCCACACTCCTTACATTCGTAGGGTTTCTCTCCACTGTGAGTTCTTTCATGTTTTCGAAGATAATTGGGAGCAATAAATACTTTACTACATTTTTTACATTCATGAAGTTTTTCTCCCGTGTGAGAGTGTTCATGTATTTGTAAGGAAGTGAAATATTTGAAGGCTTTCCCGCAGTCCTTACATTCATATGGTTTCACTCCTGTGTGAGTCCTTTGGTGTGTCTGTAAGGAACTGTAATATCTGAATGCTTTTCCACATTCCTTACATTCATAGGGTTTCTCACCTGTGTGAGTCCTCTCATCAGGTTGTAAGGAACTGTGAAATCTGAAGGCTTTTCCACATTTCTTACATTCATACGGTTTCTCTTCACTGTGAGTTCTTTCATGCATTTGAAGATAACTGGGGTACCTGAATGCTTTACTACATTTTTTACATTCATAAGGTTTCTCCTCAGTATGGTTTTTTTCATGTCTTTGAAAACTTTTATAACATCTAAAGGCTTTTTCACAGCGTTTACATTGATAGGGCTTCTCCCCAGTGTGGGTTCTTTCACATATTTGAAGTGAAGTTGAAGAATTAAAGGTTTTCCCACACACTTTGCATTTATAAGGAGCATCCACAGAATGTCGTATCATGTGTTTTTGAAGGGTTTTGAGCCACATAAAGGATTTTCCACATTCTTCATATTTATAGGATTTCTCGATATTGTGATTTCGTTCATGTTTTTCAAAACACTGCAAATAACTGAAGGCTCTCCCACATGCATTACATTTATATGGCTTCTCTCCAATTTTCTGATACTCAGAGGGCTTGTGTCCAGTATCACATTTGGTGTGCCTATCACGAGATGAATCATGTATAAAGACTTTCCCATACACGCTGTATTCCTGTGGTTTTACTCCAGGAAGAGTTTTCTTCTTCAAATTGAGATTTGGCATAGAGCTGAAGTTTTCTCCACACTGACTACCTTTTTTCTCTTCACAGATTCTCTTTACCTTATGACTTCTATTAGAAACAAGAAGCATATTATGATTTTCTATTAGTGATTTTATTAGAAAAATATTTGAACTACATTTTTCATGATTTATAGCAAAAATGTAGATTTTCTGCCTTATCTAAATTGTTTAAAATTCAATACACTGAAAGCTCTGGAAGAAAACTTCAGCCGTCCTATTATCAAGACAGTGATACTTATATACGGAGTTTACCAAAGCTGTTTCCATATGAACTAGTTCGCAAACACCAAATACCTATGTTGTATATAAGACAGTAATTTAGTGAAAAATGTCTGAGAAGTAATAAATCTGAAGTGAAGTAAGAACTGTTTTGGTTGCTTTTTTAAAAAAGTTTTGTAGCATACCAAGTTTCTCATGTGATATGCTTCTTTCTATTGTGTGACTCACCTTTGTTTTCTCCCTTGGTTTTTGTACTGATCTTCAATGTAATGATTTTCCCATTTTTTTCCTAAAATGCAGACCCAGAAAAATAATTCCAAAGTATTAGAAACTGTAGTAAAATAATTAGATTCTAGTTCTAAGATGAGCTGTGACCATGCCCAATTTACTTACCAATGGCCTCCCTTCCCACATTACACATCAGAACAATGCTGAAGAATAAGAAGCACTTGTTCTTGAATAGAGCAAGTGAAGGTAACTTGTCATCCTTACCCACTGAGGTCAGGTTCCTGATGGTTTCCTGCATCACATCTCTGTAGTTTCTTCTGTGAAGGATCTAGTAAAGCCCACTCCTCCAGAGTGAAGGTCACAGCCACATCCTCAAAGGTCACAGATTCCTAAAACAAACACCCCAAATATATGATTCGTAGGACTGACAGCACTGGACACCTATATTCCTTTTATTGAAGGTTACATATGGTTCTGTCATCTCCAAACATTTATACTATGACTTACTTATGAGAAACTATCCACATTTCTTTATAAATATAACACCATTATAAGCACATGGAAGTCATCAACATATTTTTACGGTGATCACATTACATCTCATTTTTCTCTAACAGAAAAGTTCAGAAAATGTTGGAAAATGATAGAGGTGCTACACAAATGAAACAAATATTATTTTAAAACCATCGATTCCTTTTAAGAAAAATTCTTTCATCTTCTTCCTTATTACCCATTTACAGGACTCCATGAAAGAGAGTGTCAGATCTGCTTAAGGTTTCAATAAGTAAAAATACAGCAAAGAACTGGAAGCTCTTTCTTCTATTCAAAAACATCAAAAACAAAGAGTCTAGGAGGCCTGTAATAATCCTACTTTTTTTTTTTAAACACCTTCAGCACCTGGTATTCCTAGGTGGTCTCCCATCCAAGTACTAACCAGGCCCAACCCTGCTTAGCTTCTGAGATCAGGCAAGATTGGCATGTTCGGGGTGGCATGGACGTAGACATTAATTCCACTTTTAACAAAGCCTAGCTTGCCATACTGTCTCAAAATTCTCCAAACCTTTAGAAGTGCAGACATATCTCGTTTTATTGAGCTCAGCTTCACTGCACTTGGCAGATATTGTTTTTTCCTCAATATCGAGATGAGGCCCTCCACCAGCAATAAGATTACAACTCAGTGACGGCTCAGATGATGGTTAGCATTTTTTAGGAATAAAATATTTTTAATTAAGGTATGTACACTGATCTTTTAGAAATAATGCTATTGCACACTTAACAGACTATAGTATAGTGTAAACATAACTTTATATGTATTAGAAAACCAAAATATTCATGTGACTTGCTTTATTGAGATTTCACTTTATTATCGTGGTCTGAAACCGAACAACAAGATCACTGAGATATGCCTGTGATCAGATGCAGCTGGCTGAATGAAAACATTCTTACGGAAAAGCACTGCTTTTATCTTGTGTAATATTTAGCAGACTCAATTCTTCCTTTCTTTCTCTGTACAATTTTATAGTCTAGAAAGTTATTCAGAACTTATAGCTCGGACATGAGAATCCCTATGCTCATGTGTCTCAGAGTCACTTTCAGCCAGTTTGGGGCACACACGGGCACACACACGAGATAATAATGTGCCAGATGTGTGCCTTCCAGCAGAATGATACTGCTGACACTGGTTAAAAGCTGCAGATTGAGGTCTCTCTCAGTGTCTTTTCTGTCTCTCTCACCATCCTTGTCTCGACTGTCTCTGTCCCTCTGAGTCTCTCTCAGTGCCTTTACTCTGTCTCTCGCCGTCTCTTGCACTGTCCTTCTCACTCTCTGCCTCTGAGAGGAGATCACACTCTGTCTGTCGAGTGTTATCCCTTTTCTAATACACTTTCCTTTTGACTCTAAAAAATAAATAAATAAGTAAGCTGCAGCTTGCAAGAGAGTTCGCTGACATCCGCAATGGTTTGATGGTGAATTCGCCCATGATTATAAAATACCTATAGGTGTCAGCAGTGCTTTCCTGCAAAAGATCACCTCCATTCCCCAATTAGGAGGAAGCGTTTCGTGACCAGCCACTCTACAGGCTGCCCTCCCTTCTGTCATTTCAAAGCTTCACTAGGGAGTAAAGGAGCGTGATTGCTCAATCCCTGAGCATGGGATCCCTCAACTGATGACCCAACACATGGCCAAAAGGGTATGAAAGGGGTTATTGCTTCCATAATTGAGTCTCTGGGGAGAGTCAGACAGGCCTCTCATGTGGGCTTGAAACAGCTTAAGAGGCCAAGGAAAGGTGCTTGGACTTTCTTTAGGTCAGGAGGTAGGCTGGGGTGAGAGTTCACACACAAGGGCAGGAGTTTGCATATACTCTTCTTTCTACATCAGAAAAGAAAAAAAGAGCACCAAGGCTTTCTGTCACCTTGTACAGATGGGGGGCACGAGAGGAAGAGGGAGGGATGAGGCTTAAAAGCTGTCAGCTGTCAATCACGAAAAAGTGGAGTCAGAGACTTCTGGTTTCTGGTCTGGCATTTACGTAACTTAGAAGCTGCCGTTCTTGACCTCACTAGAAAAAAGCAAAAAAACCTGAAATGAAGTTCTCAGATCTATCAGAGCATTTAGGTCACAAGATAATGCAGTGTCTCCACAACTGGCAAAGAGAAAATAAATTCAGCATTCAGAAAAATGCTCCAAATAGTCTGTTCTTTACATGGCCTATAATCAAAAATATTTAAATGAATAAATAAATAAAATCTAGTTCAGCAAAGTCTCATGCAAAGACAAAAAGTACAATACATCCACAAATCCTACCACAACCTTCTTTAAATAGAAGTTTTAAATACATGTCATGGAAATACCGGAAGTAAAAAAAAAGAGTGAAGTACAATAACTGAGATTTTCCTAAAATTAATGTTAGAAGGCAAATTCTCAGTCCAGGAAGCTCACACTACACTGACCATGACAACCAAGTATCTCTTATTCAAACTAGACACTTAACAAAGACAAAGAAAATATACTGAAAGAAGCCGTAGGGTAAAACACCTTAGTAATAGAAACAAAACTTTAAATTAAATCAAACATCCTTTCTGAAATCATTCAAGCGAAAAGAGAGTGAAGTGAAATGTTTAAAGTTTTGAAAGGAGAAAAAACATTCTCCTACTAGAATTTCATGTCAAGCAAATAATCCCTCAAAAATAAAGGAAATAGAGAATTTCAGTGACAAAAACTGAGGGAATTTGTTATGAATATATCCTCACTGAAAAATAATAATATTCATTGAAAGAAAATAAAAGATGAAAGTGGTAAATTAGAAAATAAAAAGGTAAATATCTTTTGTATTTCTTATAATTAATATAACAGATAAAAGTTTGTTTAATACAGATTTAAATTTAAAATAATAATAAAGTATTTCATTTGTTGAGTGGGCATAGCATCCTTCATGTGTATGTACATAACAACAGAGAAGCAAAATACATGAGGCAAAAATTGACAGAATTCAAGCAGTTACAGATGAATTCACTACTACAGTGTTAGATTTCAATACCCTTATCAAGAGTTATAAATTCTAACCTGGAGAAAATCACCAAGAACAACGATGAGCTCAACGGAGTCATGAAACAACAGGATTTAATTGTAATCTATGAAATATTTCATGAAACAAGAACAGAATTCACATTCTTCTCAAGTTCACGTGGAACCTTCACCAAGAAAGAACATATTCTGGGACATAAAGCACCTTAACAAATTTGAAAGAAAAGAAATGATATAAAATATGCTCTCACACACATAGGCATTCATCTAGAAATCTAACAGGATAGTTGGAAAACCCCCAAATAAGTGAACATTCAAAAACACATTTCTAAATAACACATAGAATCAAAGAACTCTCAAGAGAAATTTAAAAAAAAATATTTTAAATTACATGAAACAAAAATACAACTAAGAAAAGGTGTGGGAGGCAGCAAAGGCAACGCCTGAAGGGAAATTCACACCATTGAACAAACACACTGGGAAAAAGAAAGATCTATGATCAAATATAAGCATCTACCTTAGGAAACAACAATAAAAAGACAAACTCAAAGTAAGCAAAATAAAAATAAAAATTAGAAAAGAAATCAATGTCACTGTGTGTAATCAATGAAGAAAATTAAAACAATAAAATCTGGTTCTTTGACAAGATTAATAAAAGTGATAAATATCTAGTCAAAATAACTAACAAACGAGTGAGAGAGAAATTACTACGGAAGGCCCTCAAGTAACTGCAGGCAGTAGAAGAGGTGGGTCTCTAAAGCCTCACAGTGAAGGGTTCTCTGAGGACACTACCAGGTGTACCTATTGTATGGCAATTTAAACAGTCTACAGCTTTCTATGGTAGGGGTGTCCATGCAAGGTAGGGAAGTTTGCAAGCTATGTCATTGTCATGTCACACCTCTGCGTCTGGAGCACAATAAATGCTGTTCAGATCCTGCCTGCAGAGACTGTGTGCAGTGGCAGTGGTGCCGAGGTTCCCTGAGGGGAACCAGGAAGATGTGTCTCTTGTCCCTTCAGAGGTGAAGGCCAATGGCAGCTCAAAGGCTGTTGACCAAACAGAGCACACTTAGCCAAATCTGCGATAGCAGAATGTGTACCACTTGCTGAGTGGATGGAATTGGTAATTTCCATAATACTGGTGACTGGGCACAGGGGCTTATTTGATGTGACCACAGCCTCAACGTTGCGGTCGTCCACTGAGAGGTGTTGTTCACGCTTTCTGGGTTTAAGAACGGGCCAAATTCAGCTGTTTACAGGAGAACTGGGGATAATCACATGTTCATAAAAGGTTTCATACACCAGTTTTCAATCCTTGAGGGTCCTATTATCTAATTTTACTAAGGAGTAAAAATCATGGAGACCCATTCTGTGCAGCCCATTTGTAAGTGGCACAGATTTTTAATTTAGTTTAATTTTAATTTATAATCATTGTGTAGATTTTCTGCTCACCAAGGTATATTTTAGGAGAATAAATATTGTGACCATAAGGCAAGGATGGACCTAGAAAGTGTTTTGCTAAGTGAAATAAGTCAAAGACAAATACTGTATAAGTTCACTTACGTGTAGAATCTAAAATAATAAAGCCAATCAACAAACAAAACAAAACTGAAACAGATTCACAGATACGGAGAACTGATGGTTGCCAGAGAAAAAGAGAAAGCAAAGGAATGAGTAAAAAGGTGGAGAGGAATAAGAGGTACAGACTTAGAATTATATAATAAATAAGTCACAGAGATGTAATGTACAGCATAAGGAAAATAGTCAATAATATAGTAATAACTGAACGGTGACAGATGGTTACTCACTTATTTTGGTGATCACTTTGGAAAGCATATAAAAGTCAAATCACTGTTACACACCTGAAATTAAT